GTTGGTGAAGAAATGATACGTTTTTTACTAGTGATTTTGAATTTGATGAATAATTTGATTGGTTTTGCAAATTTGGGGGATATGTAGTTGGTTTTATTGTTACGGTGGTTGTGGTGTTTTGTCAAGTAGTTGGTGGGCATCGAGGGAGTGGCTTTGTTTGGGTTCCAGAGGATGTGGGAAGGCAAGGGAGGTTGTGGAGAGGTTGTTTATGGGAGGTTGGAGGGCTGGGGATGGCAGGAGGTGGCGAAATAAAGGGTCTGGAGGGCTGCCCTGCATATTGCAAGGCTGGCCACGCACAGCTGCACGTAAGGTAGCCCTCCAGCCTTCCTATTCTGCCACCTCCTACCATCCTCAGCCATCTCCAGTCATGGAACCTGCCATAACAGCCTCTGTAAGGCCTGTATTGGCTTCCCCGGTCCTCTTGAAGCTAAAAACACCCACTCCCTAATGCCCTTGAAGCCCATATTCCCCAAATTGGCAACCTATTGGTTGCTTTGGTTTCTTTTTTTGTTGATATTTAGTTTATATCGATTGTGCAAATTTTTCGAAGTGTAAATTATAAAGACTATGGGTTGGAGGCTCTAAGCAATAAGGTACTGTACTTCCCTATAAGGGTGACAGTTAGGTTGAGTTGGCAAGTTTTTATGAGAATAATGAAGATTTTAGAGGAGCAAAAGAAGGGTATGGACCGATTCAAAAAGAGTTGTTTCGGTCATTTTGGGGACATGGGTGAAAATTGGAAAAAGACGTTCTGGGGGCAGAGAGTACATTATATTATGTTGTTGTACTCAGTTAAAAGCAAAAAAAAAAAAAAAAAAAAAAAAAATGAAATGTGGTTAGTGGTGGATGGGAAGCCAATACATTTTGGGATGATGGAATATGCCTTGATGACAGGCTTAAGATGTGGAGCATTTCCAGATGTGGAAGAGCAAGAGAGAATAACGAAGAGTAGGGCAGCTGATAACTTGGCTAAAAAGGTTTTAGGGGGGAATGCGTCTATTATTGGACTTGATTTAGAGGAGAGGTTAGGAGAAGGTGGGTATAACTCTTCAAAGAAGTTCAAGATGTGTCTAGTATGGTTCGTGCATTCGATCCTAATGGCTTTTGACTCAACAAAGGTCGTTAATATGGATTAGGTGAAGTCTACAAATAACATGGACTTCATTAATGCTTATCCATAGGGACATGTATCATTTCAACTTACCATTGACTTCCTGTGTGGAAAAGACATGGCGATAAAGCATCGCCAAGCTGTCGAGAAGGATAGACCAAACACATACAATTTGTTTAGCTTCCCATGGGCAATGCAGGTAAATATTAATAGCTTTTTGTATTATATGTGTTTTAATTATGATATAGACTGTTCTTTTTACAATGTAGGCTTGGATGTATAAGACCGTCCATGTCTTGGCTAAGGCACGGGGGTGGGGGACTTCTGATGAGCGACCGCAATTTCCTAAGATGTTGCGGTGGCACATCGAGAAGTGTGCCCATTGGGATTATGACAAAATAGAAATAGAAATTCAAGCAGCTTGGGTAAGATTAAAGGATTAATCTTTTGAATATGCACTTGCTTTTAAATGTGGCTTAAATTTGATTGATTTTTTTTCTTATTGCAGGGAGTCATCCGTCCCTTCCTCACCCCTACTAAAGGTGAAGCAGGAGAGGAGTATGTTACATCGTTCAGAGTACTAAACGATGCAGTAGATGAAAGGATAGACCGCCTAATGTCGGACCTAGAAGGGGTCACGCATGTGAGTGCAGCTGCAAGGCCACTGCTTGAGAATGTTGTTGAGGCCGAGGATGATGAAGCTCCAATCGACGGGAGGGAGGAGGAGGAGGATGAAGAGGTTCATACGCCTTCACCCAATTGGCAAACCGGTACAACAAGTACAGCTTTGTCGAGGCATCGGAGTCGAAAGAATGAGGTGATTGACTTCATAAATGGTCTGTTTGAGAGTTTTACAACAGTTGTTTATGAGAGGTTTGAGAAGATGGAAGAGCGGATGAAAAAGGTAGAGGAGAAAGTTGATAGGGTGGAAAAGGAAGTTGGTGGGGGTATTGAAAGTGGTTGAAGTGCAACCTAAGCTTAAAAGAGAAAGCCAAAAGTGGAGCAGCAAAAATGAAGGAGGGTAAAGAGGAAGGCAGAGGAAGTGGGGAAGTGAAAATGGAGGAGGGTGAGGCGGGACACAAAGGAAGTGGGGAAATGAAAATGAAAGAGAGTTAAGAGGAAGGTGGAGGAAGTAGGCAAGTGATAACGGAGGAGTTAAAGTTCGATTTGTATAAGCCAATAAATGAGGAAAAGAAAAAACTCTTATATGCCTATTACAATGATTTTTGAAGTGATGGGCGGGTGAAGTGCAAGACCGGGGATTATCCCCAGGAGTGGTTTGAAAAGATGTTGATAATGGGCAGGTGGCTTGACGACTCGGTGAGTTATTTTCCCTTATTTTTGCTTATGTTTTCCATGAGATATTGTATACTTATCATGTTGTTTTTATTTGATGCAGTACATTGATGAGATATTGGCACTTATGAGGCTACGACAGAGCAATAATGGTGATATTCTGTATCCGCACTGTGCCATCACCGATGTGGCCTTTGGCCAAAGGCTAGTAACTACATATGACACTTTAATGAAAAAGGCCAACAGTAGAGGTGCAACAAAAGGAGGCGCGTGGAAAAGATTGGCCACAGATGACTTCGATGGTGTCCTTGATGATTTTTGGTTTGATAAGAGGATGATGCAGTATGTATAAGGGGAAAGGCCCATATATGGCAACAATTAGGCAAATGTTAAAAGAGTATATTGCATCATAAACATCAAGGATATGCATTGGATAACCGTCGTTTATATACTAGAGGAGGGCTTGTTGTAGATCCTTGATTGCAACCCGAGTATTTGTTGAGAGAGGCAGTTGCAGATGGAGTTACAACCACTATGTATGTTGTTCTCGTAGCTGTTGCACTACAGCAGGATGTTTTAGCACTTGGGTGATGAACTACTGACGGGAAAGTGGCCACTCAAGCTCCTTCACCTCCCGATAAATGACTCGAGGTAAATTTTATATAAAACTTACATAATATAATTGTTCTATAAGTTGATTCTAATGCTAATGTTTTCCTCCTATTATAGTACTGATTGTGGGGCATATGCACTAAAATTTATTGAGTTTAACATGACCAACACCCTAATGGACAGGTTGAATGACGAAACAATGAACAACTTTCGAGAGCGATTCGCTTTTGAGTGCTCCCATAGGCATATGGATCCCTTTTGACTAACCAAAGCCCAATCCAAGTCATTGTTGATGCTGTCATCAAAAGGTATGTAAGTTGGACTTAGAGTTTTGTAGTTTATGTGAAATGCATTTCTTATTGGGTTGTCTTGAATAGAGATGGCAATGGGCCCGATATTTCCTGGTACCCGACCCGTCTCGAAAAGGTCGGGCTTTACCCGATGTTCGCGGGCTTGGGCTTGGGCCTAGGCCTGATTTTAAGGCCCGACCTCGGCCCAACAATTTTAGTATTAATTATACTAAATTACCATTTATACTATATATTTAATTACAAGATTATCCTACATATATACACTCATTTTTCTCAAACCGTACATGGATGGATGAATGCACTTTGTGGAAAGTTATTTATGTATTTGGTGAGTATTTAAAAATAAATTAATATTTAAAAATTGTTTCTTTAATTAAAAATATAAAAAAAAATATATTGAAATTTATTTTTATTTAAAAATTCACATTATAAAAATGGGCGAGCTGGGGTCAAGCCTGAGGTTACAAAAAGCCTGTCGGGTTGGGCTTGGGCCAAAGGGTACTCGATCTCGGCCCGGCCTATTGCCATCACTAGTCTTGAATAATTGGATTGTCTTGAATTGGATCAGCTGGTATTGTTAGGCGTCAAGCTGTTGATACTTGAGCTGTGGTGTTATGTATGCTTTGTGGCCAAGGCCAAAGCTAAATAATGTTTAAAGGGGTCGTGTAGAAGAAGACGAAGAAGTTGTTGTTGATGCTGAAGGTGTGCAAGATAATTGTGGAGGATGGGGAAGTGGCTGAAGAAAATAATAAAGAGAGAGGATGGAGGCTGCCGACGCTGCTTTTATTTTGAGTGTATATAGGACATTTATTTGTTGTATATAATGTTGTAATTTAATGTAATTGACACATTTCAGATTTGTACAAAAGCAATTCAGTATTTCTTTCCCTCTTTTGAGTTTGAGTTTATTTAGTATTCTTGTTAAACGACATTAATGTGTTGATGCAATTAGGTTGTCAAATTTAGGAGAAAAGATGGAATTAATATGTGTTAGTGATTTTAGTTTGTCAAAATTCAGGATAAAAGCTAGAAAAAATAAGTGTTGCCCATGATCGCTTAAGCGACTATATATATTGCTTAAGCGATCAAACACCTGAGATGATCTTGATTCTGCCTTGAACTTGATCGTTTAAGTCACCAAGGCTAAAAGTGAAGAATCACTTAAACGATACCACTTGATTTGGTCTTTTAATAAAATGCCCCTATTTTCGCCCATCTCCTATACAAAGTGCGGAGCTAATATTAGGGGTTTAATTATCTACCCACTTACAATAGTACAAATAATAAGCGTACCCAAGATTTTCCGAAAGTATTATATACCTCCCCAACCAAGAGTGGGACAAGGATTAATCATAGGCAAGGATTGAATTTTGAAAAGTCAGTCAAATAGAAGTCCTTGACCATTGGGTTGAGCACATTCACCCCTATTAACAACCTAGATAGATCGAATTCAAGACCTCTTGAATAATACAACCAAGAGTCATTGTTGACCGTTGGACCAACCAATGGTGATTTGATCATATTATTCAATGTTTTCGATGCATGCATTGATCATATTATTTAATGTTTTCGGTCTTTGTCACCATTTCTGGTTGTTGATATATGTAAATCAATAAGAAATTTTTGCGTGGAATCATTCATTAAACATCCACATCTTTGATGACTAGAAAAGTAGAGCATCTGATATAAAATGGCTAGAAAAAACTGACCGGTGTAATACTCTATTGAACAAGTTACTGACTTGACCGGGAAACCAACAATATTATGTATAACTTACTGTCATCTACATTTCCCACACTTCTGTTATCTTTAACCGGCACAAGGCTGGTATATTATTCAAAGCATAGCTTGACCTCAAAGGTCTTTTTATCTTATTTGTTATACAAACAATAAACATTAATTGATCAGCTATAAATGTTCAAATAGTTTCTTCAGATTGTAAGGCCCTGTGATATTTGGGGTTCCATTCCACACAAGTTCTGCAATTATCTTGTATGTCTTCTCAGTGGGATGAATAGCATCAAAGAACATATATTCCTCAGGATTATCACATAACTCGTAATCTTTTATTCCAGTCATCCCCCCACAGCTGTATGTTCCTCTGTATCGACCACTGCCACAACATGCCACTATGGCCTCCTTCAAACCTTCACAACATAAAAAATTCAGTACAGATTGTAGATTAGAATAGAGCTAGGCGCCTAATCTCGACATGCATACAAGATCGGATGATCAAATAACATACCATATCTTGAAGGGTTGTTGATGATTTCCAGAGAAGAATTGTAGAAATCATGAATTGCATATTTGAATCCTGGTAATTGGCTCTCTAGCTCCGGCAGGACTTCAGATAGTGCTTTGTTATGTAGTTTTGCTAACTCTGAAACACTCTCCAGGCAAGATCCTGAGCTTCCCGGTACAATTGCTCTTATGAGTGGTAAACAACCCAAATCATCCAAATTTAAGAACCCAAATTTCCTTCCTCCAATCTCATATATTTCCTGTCAGAACAAAATAACTTCAAAAAAAATAGATCTTGTTTATAAAACACTGGAACAAGATTTTTCGAAAGAGTATGACACTATTACTTTGATTGTAGTTGTCAGGTTGCCGATCACCATCCCTATATATTTTTTTCTAGAGTAATCCGATTGAAGCACACTTGAGTTTGTGAACAAAGGGACCAAGTAATCATTGGTCCCAATGCTAAATATGTAAACAGCTTTGGATAGCAATCTTTTGGCTCCTGCATCACCTAGTTTCTGCTTCAACTGCTTCTCCACCAGCTTGAAATAACTTAGCTGAGTGTTAAGATCTATTACCTGGTATTTACATAACAAAATGTGAGCACAAAGGTTTTTGGCTAATTCTATTTACTCTTTAAGCTTAAACAGCAAGATTTCATACATATCCTCGTTGAGTTTCAGCTAAAGCACCAGCTCCTGAGGATGCGAAGTTCACACCATAANAGGAAATGTGGGCCCAATATGGGCTTCTTTGGATTTACTAAAGGCCGAACGACTTACGCATATCCAAGGTTTGTTGAAATGACAAGTTGGTACCCAAAAAGTTTTGAAACAACAAATAGGTACCTTCCGTCATGTTCTGTTAGTGATTTTCGTTTTATAATAGTGAAAAGACTAAAATGCCCTTGAAAGTTTGATATTTTAGTTTTTTATAAATTTAAAAATTTCTAAAAAACCCCCTAGGTTTGCTAATTTGACTAAATACCCCAATATATAAAAATTTTATAAAATAACAAAAACACTCCCACCACCCGCAGTGCCAGATTCCGGCCACCACCGCCGAAATCTGGCCGAAAAATTGCGTTACGACACAAACTCGTCGATCTGACATTTTCCAGTAAGATCCGTGACTGATCTGACCGGAAAAGGCCAGATCTGGTCGTCGAGGCCGGAATTTGGCCGAAAAATTGCGTTACGACACATGCTAGAATTTGGCCAGATCTGGCCGTCGAGGCCGAAAAAGGCCAGATCGACGCGTTACGACACAGATCCGACGGGTCTGTGTCGTAACGCAATTTTTCGGCCAGATTCTGGCGGTGGTGGCCGGAATCTGGCACTGCGAGTGGAGGGTGGTGGGGGTGTTTTTGTTATTTTATAAAATTTTTATATGTTGGGGTATTTAGCAAATTAGCAAACCTAGGGGTTTTTTTAGAAATTTTTAAATTTATAAAAAACTAAAATATCAAACTTTCAAGGGTATTTTAGCCTTTTCACTATTATCAAACGAAAATCACTAACAGAACATAACGGAAGGTACCTATTTATCGTTTCAAAACCTTTTGGGTACCAACTTATCGTTTCGACAAACCTTGGGTATGTATAAGTCGTTCTGCCTTTACTAAATTCAATAGTAAAAAAAAATGTCATAAAAAAACAATTTGTAAATTGTAACTCAGAAAAGTAGGGGGTACCGTTCATATCTAAAACAAAACAAACTCAGGGAAACATTTTTTTCCCACGAAACAAACAGAAACATATAGCATGATATTTAAAATTTCATTATTGAACAAAAGAAGTAGGACATTAAAGAGCAATTTTTAAACTTCTTTAAAAAAAAAAATAGTAGATACTGAAAATTAATGAGATTAACAAACAGGCAATCAGAATTGTACATTAGACTAGAAACTTTTCATCATGAAACATAGAGATAAGAGAACGCAGGAGTGGGTTAATAGGCACACGACGACCAGTTGTACTGGGGGTGTAAATTTGGAGATATTATAAGCTTTTCATGGACGGCAGGCAAGTATTCACGTTTCATTTAGTGCAAGGGAGATAATATTAGCGCTTCTTCTTCACAAACGTGCATCCAAGTAATTGTCTTCCTTTTTTTATTATAGTTCATAATTAATTGATAAACAAAGTCAGCCATTAATGTCTCTATAAAAGACCATGGTGTTCTTCTCATATCAATTCAAAATCAAAACTTTTCTTTCTTCCTAAATAGATTTTCAGAGTCATGGGCTCACACCGGTTTTTCTTCAGCTTCTTTTGATTCTCTTCCATGCTGATCCTTGCCTCTGCAAGTGATTATGGCTATGGCGGCACACTGAGGGTGACAAGCCAAAGTCTCAAGAATATAACTACACGAATCCAAATCTGAAGACAACAGATATACTCCTAAGCCAGAAGCTTACAAGCCACACCCCAAGACAACGGATATGCTCCCAAGCAAGAAGCTTATAAGTCACAACCCAAAGACTACGCATATGCTCCTAGCAAGTTTACAAGTCGCAACCCCAAAGATAACAAATATGCCCCACGCCTAAAGCTTACAAGTCACAATCCAAAGACAATGGATATGCTCCCAAGCCAAAAGCTTACAAGCCACCCCAAGACACGGACACGCTACCAAGCCAGGACTTACAAGCCACAACCCAAAGATAGCATATATGCTTCTAAGCCTAAAGCTTACAAGCCACAATCCAAAGACATGGATTGCTCCCAAGCCAGAAGCTTACAAACCACAACCTAAAGACAACGAAAATCTCCCAAGCCAGAAGCTACAAGCCACAACCCAAAGACAACACATATGCCCCAAGCCAAAAGCACACAGCCACAACCCAAAGACAATGGATACACTCCCAAGCCAAAAGCTTATAAGCCACAACCCAAAACAACGCATATGCTCCCAGCTAGAATCTTACAAGCCAACCCAAAGACAACGCATACGCACCAAGCCAGAAGCTTACAAGCCACAACCTAAAGACAATGTATACGCTCCTAAGCAGAAGCTTATAAGCCACAACCCAAAGATAATGAATACGCTCCCAAGCCACAACCTAAAGACAACACCTATGCTCCCAACCAATCTACAAGCCACAACCAAAGACAAATCTACTCTCCCAAGCCACAACCTAAAGACAACACCTATGCTCCCAAATCAAAGCTTACAACCACAACCCAAAGACAATGCCTACGCTCCCAAAACCAGCTTACAAGCCAAAAGCAGAGGAGAAGTCAAGGGTTACTAAATTTCTTCATTCTTTTTGAAGACTTTCTTCACTTCAGAACATGGACTTCAACAAGTTACTAAATATTTTATGTTTTTTATTTTTTAATTCAGAATTTCTTATTTTGATTGTATTCTATGATTTGCAATAAGATAAAGATTATTATAATATAATGAGTATCTCATTGACCCATTGTAATACAATCTCTCAAAGGTATCCTTTATACTTAACACTTCATGAGAATTAAAGCTTCTGATATGTGCAGGTCCAATTATTATGGATGGCAATCAACAGTCAGCACAGAATTATATATAAATTCGAAATTAGATATAATTAGAATCTGATAATGAAATTGACTTTGTTTTAGTTTGGAGCATTTTTTATATATATTTAAATACAACCTTTTTCTTTTATTTTCTTTTCAAAAATGAAAGGATACAATCTTGTAAAAAGATTATATGTTGAAATGTTTTGGAGAACAATTTTGAATACATTTTTAAAAAATAAGAGTTTAAAAACGCTAAATTTATAGTTTTTGTATCTAAAAACAAGTATTAGTCATTGTATGACTTCTGATAAGAGAAAAAATTATGCTCAGATATGTTTATAAAAAGGCCTAGTATGAATGGAAAACATAACGAATTTAGAAACTAAATAAATCATTAGGAAGTTAAATGGTCTTTGTTGGTATAAAGGGACCTGAAACCTCATGTCCTCTTATTACATTTGCCGATATTCAAAATAAAATGAAAAAAAGAAAAGATTAATCAAACATATATATATGACCAACCATCTATTTGTTTAATGACCTTAACATGCCCTAAACATATTAGAATCACAAAAAGACAAATTTAACATATAAGTGGGTTCATGGAGATATGGAAGCCATCTCCATGGCAGGCAGGCAGCAAGGCATACACGTTCATGGAGATTTCAAATTCTCTTCGATCAAATCGTGCAACCGCGTTATTTGTCTTCTATATTCATGTCTATAAAAGCATCCATGGTGATACTTCTCATCGTAATTCAAAAATCAAATAATTTTTCTTCCTGTTGCAGTATTATTTTTCATGGGGGCCACCCGTTTCTTCTTCACAACCTCTTTACTTCTCTTCTCACTGCTGATCCTTGCCTCTGCAAGTGATTATGGCTAGACACACGGTGACGGTGACGAGCCAAGACTCAGTTGTATTAGACATTTCAAATCAAATTCAAAATGGGTCAAATTCATTGGTATGACTCACAATCAGACTATGAGAAATCAAAGTCGAAAAGAAAAGGAAATTAACAGATCGAAATCAGTAGGTCATGATTATACACAATGTTGATGGCTTCAAATCATACCTAGATAATTCAAAATCTGAGGTAATGTCTTAAGGTTCAAAGCCAGAGTTTCAAGCCACAGCCCAAGATAATGGCTACGTTCCCAAACCAGAAATTTCCAAGCCCAACCCAAAGATAACGACTATGTTTCCAAGTCAGAAATTTACAACCCACACACCAAAAGATAAACTGATGAAGTAGGACGAAATGAAACGATGAACTTTGATAAATTGTTTAAGTGTTTCACAGTGAAATTACAAGTGAGAGGAACTGATGAAGCGAAGACGAAATGAAACGATAAACTTCAACGACGGACAGGGACTATAGGGCGGCTGGCGGCAAACAGATTTGGCACACAGGTCGTTGATCGAAGAAACCAATGACGATTGAAGAACTAAGTGCATGGAGGTATAGAAGAAGTAGTTGAATCGGAGAGAATGAGAATTGAAAATGGATTGGATTTTTTCATGCAGTGACCCCGTATTGCACCAAAACCGATCGGACTGGTGGTTGCACAGTAACACCAGCCCAACGTGGGTCATACTGGGTGAACTGTCAAACGTATTTTAACCCTTTAAAACCCGGCCTAGGCACCCGGTTCCCGGTTAAGTCGGTCCAACCGGGCCAGGTTTTAAAATATGAGATAACTACTCTTGTAGGTGCCCCGGAAATATTTCTCTTGACTACAAATATCATGCATATATTTATTGTAATTTAAATCGAAAAGAACAATACAGCTCTGTCAAGTTAAAATCTGTAATCATAAGGTTGGTATGCATAACCATATTAGGTATTAAATGGTCCTATAATTTAAAATTTAGATAGTACTTATGTTGATAAATTAGGGAACCCTTATCTCATCCCATATCTGATTGCAAGTTTTTTCTTATTCCAAATATGTAAATTGATTTCTTAAAACTAGAGATGAATCATTCTAGAAATCATCATAAACATTGGTCGTAATCTATAACCATTGAAGGTTATTTTCAAAAATATTTAAGGTAAAAGTGAGGTTCACCATATGGGCATATATTCAACAATGAGTTCAGAAGGAAGAATTTGAAATTGGAACATCTTCTACATAACTTGTATCTCTGCCTCTACTTGAGCATAAATAGCGTATTACATTGTATTCATTGCTGATGCAGAGAGGTCCTGTTGGAAATTTCAGCCAATGTTCACTTCAATATTTTTGTGCAGGACTCGACGAGGTCGACTCCCTGTGCCCAAAGTTAGAAAAAGCCATTGTACATAACTTGTCATCTTCTTGCCCATCTAGATGACGAAACCTGAAGTAGCTTTATCTCCATGTCCCAAACTGGAAACAAATATTAAACTTCCAATCACGATAAAGAAAGACAGAAGCGTTTCACAAAATAACCTTAAAGCTCCATTTACCTTTTAGGTCCACTTATCAGCATGTCTCTTCTCGTTTTGATTCACCAATATCATACTCGCTCTAAATGTGATTCTCCATTTTCATTCAAAGAATCACCAAAAAAACTCACTGAGTTCATCGACGTTTGATTTCCCATTCTGGACATAATTCACCAACCTATCTTGGAGCTCCACAGGGATGATATCCTTGTTCCTAAGTATTTATGAATTTCTCTGCTCTTCTATATCTCCTTCACCTAGGAAGTATTTAGACAGGCAGAAAAAATTTCCATCCTGGTCTCCACCGTTTTACAAATCACTAATGCTTCTTCCACTCGCTTCCACTGCTTTTTGAGATTGATTTACTGAAAATACCCAATTGCCATATAGAGCAAGTTTTCTGATCGGCTTCCCCCTTTTCATTTTGCCCCATCTATAAGATTTTCCCGCCTCCAGCAAAGCCCTTTTCTGCTATAAGCACTAATCATCAAGTTTAAAATCCGAATATCATAGTTTCATTACTGATTCCCACTCTTCAAAATCTTCTTGGCAGGTTTTCAAATCATCAAATTTCAATATAGAAGGTATGACAGATATATAGCCTTATTGTAAATCTTATGGTTGTTCTTGTAAAATTCCCAAAGTCTTAAAACACCACCTTCTTCCAATTTTGCATATAGTGTATAAGAAACTCATATGCTCTATTGCTATCTTTACCCGGTATTAGTTCCTCGGATTTCTCAGCTCTCCACAGCTTTGTCCAAGAGTCCAGCTTTCGCGTACCCATTTGCTCATTACTGTAAACTGTCCAGTGCGAACAAAATTGGGATCTGATTCCATCACTGCCAGATCTTATCAATTCCATCAACATCAGATGAGCCCAAAGGCACTCAGGAGTATACCCACTGTAATTTATCATATCCAATGCCTTTTTCTTGCATTTCATGCAACAGACTATCAAGTTTCTTGTAATTTACAGTCTGATAATAAAGATTAAGCATAACATTGATGCCATCGATGTCCGAAGCTAAACCCAAATCCCTCATTTTCTGCATGGTGGCCTCTGCTTTCTCCACAGATTTTACACGGCATAGCAGTTAAGCAAGCACTATAAACTGGAAGGCCCTTTAGTTGTTTCGGAACATTGCTGAAATAATTTTCCGCTTTTCTGTCCATGAACTTTAGAGATCAAATCCAGACGAATGGCAACATCAACAGATGTAAGTGGCAAGTATCTTTTGTCGGTCATCCACATAGAAATCTGCGGAAAGAAAGAGAGAGAGAGAGATTATAACAATGAAAGATAAAATTACAAGATCACCGATACCAGTAATCATACGGCAGTTTCTTCAATATTAGAGATAAGAAAAATATAATTATTTAGAAAAAAAAATATTATAATGTATAAATGTAAGCGAATAGCGCCTATAATTAAAGAGAAAACCATTTTTAATATATTCTACAAATATAATTTAAATAATAACTATTCATAATGAAAAATTTATAAAGTGATTTTTTTTTTTATTATTCTTTAATAAATAATAAATAAAGCAACA